TGTCTTCAAACAAAAAACAAGAAATGTCCGAAAAGAAATATACAAATTGTGGTATGGGCAGCGTGATTTCTTGACTAATTTTTATGACACTTTTCACTTTATGAGGTGGCCTCGCTAATTCCACAGTTCTCATCCATTTTTCTTCTTGTTTTTCCCCGATTTTGCTGCTCCCACTTTATTTACCTTTTGGCTCTTATTGAACAGGGGGAAAACGTATAGTACCCCGGGGCCGTAAAGATTTTTATCGCTCAAGGATATGTGTCATAAAATTTCCTAGCTCTCGAGACTATTAAAAACAATAAATGTCAAAACGAAACGGATTTTCCAGTACATATACATATGCGTGTACCTAGATGCCGCCGGTTACCATTTATATATATTCTCGAAGGGGGAAAAACTGGACAAGGAAAATAATGGGTCTACTGTAGGTTATGTAGGGTTGATAAAGTCCACTACTCTATGGCGTTGTCTTTTGGGTGGAATTTTATAAACAGAAGTGCATAAATATTAAAAAAAAAAGGAATGTATAACCTGAAATGGAATGTTTTTACGGGAACATTTCAAGGGATTTATTTTTATCGCTATGACTTGCTTTCTAAGCCCTTAAGAACAGGTAAGAATAACTAGCTAATTCCTTGGTGAAGGAAGAAAAACGTACTGAAGATTATTTCGCTTTGGTTTTATGAAAATATTAAAAAATAACTATAAATACTGTCAAAAGGAAAAGAATTCCCAAGTATATGCGTATTTTTAAAGTGTATGTGTCTAGGACAAGGGAAAAATAATGGTTCTATTGAGGGTTATGGGGTTGATAAGGGCATATTGTTGAATATACAAAAAAAGGAATTGCATAAACCTATGAAACCAGGATAAATAAGTAACTAAATCCGCTTTATTTAAGCGAAAAGTAAACTCCATTTTACCTAACATTTTCCTTATAAATATTCCTACTTTTATTATTTTCTTTCAAAATTAAACATGCTAATCCCATTTTGCTTTAGCAACTAATCTTTTCTTGTGCCCCCTTACCCAAAACAGCAAGTTCCTAATTCTTCTCATTTAGAAGAGCCTCGAAATGTGAATTCTTGCTCTATTTTTATGGTCCCCACTTTGTCCTTGTGTCGTACGGCAGGACATTAGGCAGTCAAATCACGTAAATTATGACCGGGGCCACTATAATTCCTTATCGCCGGGACATGATTTCAAATGATAGACTGCGAAAAAGACTGGAATGAAGGCATCTATCTTAGTGGCCCGAGGGGAAGATTTTTTAGTAGGCGCGACAAGTTTTTTTTTTACTTGAGGAGGAGGAGCCGCGAGGAGGAGGAGAAGGTGGATTGCAATTGGCAACTGGCGCAACGCATAAATTGAGAATTTTTATCTAATCCGCGGCATCTGGGAGACGCGTACATTAGCTGGCACCAGTCTGTCCCTGTCCCTGTCCTGTCCCTGTCCTGTCCCGTCTGGCACTGGACAGGACTGGAGTCTTTCTGGTCCGCTTTTCGTATCCAAACCAAGTCTCTCAGTGAGTCTCTGAGTTTGGCCAAAAAGCAACGAGACTGCGACTGCGACGACGACGACGACAATCGACAGGCAATAAATCACCCAAAGTTGCCACAGAAATTTATGTGCAGCAGATTAGGATCGCGAAAAGCGTCATTAGAATAAATTTTCATTGGAAAATGAGCGCCGGGTCCAAAAGCCAAGTGAAGCAAAAAGAATTGATGAGAAACGCAGTTCAAGTTGTAATAATTATGAGCTTGAGAATTGGGGAATTCCTTACTGAATGATAAGAAAATTGAGAAATGCCGAAAAAGGATATTTTAATATATGGGTTTTTAGATTATTGACTTGGAAATTAAGAAACTTTGGAACAATTTTAAGGGTTTTATAAGGGATAGATAGAACTCATAAAAGATAGAGTTTAAATACGGAATCACTTTAATTTTTCAGCAAATGAGAGCAGAAATATATTTATTTATAAAGCCAAAGATCTTGAATTTATTCTTTTATTTATTATTAATAATATATTTTTAGATTTATTTGTTGAAAGAATGCAATATTTCCAATATTATGAAATTATGATTAACATGAATTTATTGAATTAATTTAGTTTTCTGGTTAATATAAAAAAAAATGTTTTTCACTCGTTTCAACAATATTAAATTCACAAAAATGTTAAGAATCCAAATATCACTTTAAATCTTCCTTATCAACACACAAACTTCACTTAGAAAGTAAACACTATACTCATTTCCCTTTAACAAATAATCTCTATCTTCAAAATATCTTTTCAAATGCATGTAAAAATTGTTCGAATTCGAAAAACTCCGACTTACCTTTTGCCGTCTTCTTTTTGTTGCCGTCTGCTGCCTCCTTTTCTGTTTCCTTTCTTTCTAGATTCCACGTTCCTCCTTATCTCTCTCAGGACATTAATGATTAATCCCAGCGTCGTCTGCGCTCTCCTTTTATTTTTATAGCTTTTTCTTGTTGTTGGAATTTGCCGTGCTTTCGTTTGTTGTTGTTGTTGTTGTGCGTGTGCCGTTATTGGCGGTATAATCCAATAATCCAACACGAAAGAGCGTGTGCAGTGGGAATTGCAAAAACTAGGGAGACAGACACAGACTTACACACATATACACAACACCCGCACAGTCACACGCATACAGTTTGCCGCTTTGTTTAGTAAATTAAACTTTTCACTTTTCACGCAGGCAAAAGGAAACTGGAAAATGGGCAATTTTCCTACTTTGTTCCTTCTTGCGCGCCAGCCTTAAGTTTCGCTTTGGTTTTATGCTGTTTTCCGGCATTTCTTTTCGCTTATTTTTTCCAATCACAAAACACAGACGCAAACGCACACACACATATACTAGCAGCGAGAGGTACAAAACAAAAGCAAATGCACGACGCCAACGCCAACAGCAGCAGCAGCAACAACAACAACAAAACGCCGCTGTAGTACACAAAAAAATTCCTTTTTTTTCCGCTGCGCGTTGCCTCCTTTTACATATACTCTGTATATATGTATGTATGTAATGGCATGTATTTATTTACTTTTTGTTGTATTCCACAGAGCAATTCTATTTCTTGCTTCTTTTATTAATGACTTTTTCACCTTTTGGGACTTAATTTCTTTTCTCTTTCTATTTATTTTTTGCCGCACTTGATTTTTGATACTACGTTTTACCTCTCTATCGCACTCACCGTTTGATTTGGGGATAAAACAACAACAACACACACGATCTCGTCAATTGGTCGCGTAATTGTCGACGCTCATTTGGTAAACATTTGGAGTTTTTCATCCGATTTACCGTTTACGAAAACACAAAAACTGTAACTTCGCGCTCGCAAAAAAGTTGAACCGTTCCGGACGCGAAAGGGAGAGCGAAAAACACGGCAAAACAGAGGAAAATCCGGCGGAAAACCAAGAGCGACGCTGGCTTTTCCTTCGACAAGTTGAGAGTTTTCCGCGGCGGAGCGGCACAGAGCCACGTTCGATTTTTTCCCGAAATTTGTTTGTTGTAATTTTTTCACTGCACTGCCTTATATAGCCTCCGCTCTCTTGTGCAGTGATGTACATTTTGTCTTTTTCCCGACAGCTTAGCAATAATAGCTGCTGGCTGATTTCACGCTAGATATTGTGTTTTTAATATCAGAATATGGCTTTTTCAAAGTAAAACTTGATGAATTTAATATGCAACAAACTTCTACTACTAACACAACTCTATAATTAGTGGTGCTAATTATAGGTTCTGTTTTCGTAGTGAACTGACAATATTGAGCTAATTTCATCAGCTATTTAATAGCAGCAAGTTGGCAGACATTGCGAGAGAGAGAGCCTAAAAAGAGAGTGAGAGTACTTGAAACGAGTTTGGAATGAGCCGGTCTGTGTGACCAGTCGCCGTTTATCAGAAAAACGTACAAATTAATACCATGAAGAAAATACTGATATAAGAGGATATCCTTTCGAGTTTATATTTAATCCCTTTAATATATAAACTAAACCTTATTATCTAATAATCTGTTTAATAAAATAATAGTATATTGTCCTTAAAATACCTTTTCTAGGGATTAATATTATGATATTATTTAAACTATAAATCCTCTTTGGACAACTATTTGGTAAGGCCTTCGGCAGCTGACTGATGTAAAACTTATTAGCGGTTATTCAGTTTTATAGTAAAGATATTAATTATTAATTAATAAGTTTGTAATTAAATTATATAAATTTGCTTTAATTTTTATATCGTCTGTTGATTTGTGCTTACATAATGCGAAAGCAAATAAAGCGATTTACTGATTAAAGAGCATGAGAATGACGCTAGCTGCTGGATACAACACTCAAACAACTTAAACCCTTTACAGCCGTTACTATTTAAAATTTAGCATATTCTTGAGGCAAAATTAATTGTTTATAAACTGCCATATAGTAATAAAAAAATTAATATTTAAATCAAATTATAATATTTATAAAATATGAGTTGGGAAATACATTACGAAACAGAAATATTGTATGGCTAATTAGTACTTTCAAACTTTTTTAGAGCTATAAAACTTTAAGTCTGCATGAACAATTACTAATTAAAATTATATAAATAATAGTGCCAGAATTTAAATGAAATTATATTTTAAACGATCTATAACCTATATAATAAGTAAAGCCAGAAAAAAATCAGATTATACCGATGACACCAAGTGAAAGTGACTTTGTTATTGTTTCTTATCACTCTCTTACCTGTTCTCTTTTGTTGTGCTAATTTTTTATTTCGCTTTTTCTTATCAAAATATTTCCCTAATAACTTCTCACAAATATTTTGCTGCCCCCTCTCCCCGATAAGATAACACATATAGGAAAAAAAGAGTCAACTAGCTCAGCAAATCAACGCTTTTCATGGAGAACAATTATTAGTTTCGCTGGGCTTTCAAAGCCGCACGGTTGTTTTGTGTCCCCATTGCTTGCTAAATAAATAATAATTGAAAAATAGAAAAATTTTAGTTAAAATGAACGTGAAAATGACGTCACCTGGCGCCAGGTGTTTTTCCTGATCTCCCTGCTCGCTCTAATTTCGGGAATAATTCATTCAGAAGCTGCTTCTGTCGGTTCGTTGACATTTTGTGAACTTATCGTTACATAATGGGAATTATTAGTCGCTCTCTCTTTCGCTCTCAGATGAACAATGCCGGCATGCGGACAGCTGTGAGAGATGCCTTTCTGCCACCTGGATTGTGCCTGGTGCACCGATAAGGTGAGTGAGAATCGCAGAGAGATCCTTGACAGTGTGACCATTTAAATTAATAAAAGAATTAAAGTTAAGGTATAAACAATGCTTTCTTTTAAAAGGTTCACTATTACTCACATTTCTTATCATTAATCCGGAAGATAAAGAACAAATCCTTTTATTTACATATAGATATAAATTTCAAAAATCCTTAAATTTAATATAAAATGGTCACATTGCCTTGATCCTTTTCTCTCTCCTTACTCTATCTCTTTCCCATTTCCAGGTGTATGAATCGAACCTCTATCGCTGCCTCACTCGCTCCCAACTCCTGGCGAACAACTGCAGCGAAAGTGAGATATACAGGAATGAGCCGGCTTTAGATATCCTGCAGGAAAACCCCTAAAGGACTACGAGACCAATGACGATCAAGCGGTACAGGTGACACCGCAGCGTGCATACCTCAAGCTGGTCAAAGGTGTGTGTGTATATTGCTCCCTTTTATTTTTTATACAAATGTTGTTATCTTATCAAATGTGTGTCAGAGGAGAGCCCTTCTACCAACCCCTCTCTCCTCCTCTCTCACCGCATATTAGTTTTGTTTTCTTTTTTTTCTCTATCGAATGTGTCACTCTTCGGATTCTGCCTTTCCCCCTTCATTCGTGTGTTTGCTTTGCTGATTTGTTCCACATCATTTTCAACATTTTGTTTTGTGTCTGGGTTTTGCTTATCAGCATTTTGTGGTTGTCACATCTTTGGGTGCTATTTGTTATTGTTTTTTAGCGTGGGAATACATAGCTCTTAGCCGAGGAGATCTTGCTCTCTTTCTGTAGCTGCTCTCTTCTCTCTCTCTGAGAGAGTGCATTGAACCCCAATTGATAAGAAAGTGTGATCTTGGGATTAATTAGATTTTGTAATTGTTAAGTTTCTTATCAGTTTTCTTATATTATTGATTTATTACTTAGTTTCCAGTGATACAATGAATCATTTTTCTTAAAAGATTATTACCTAAGAATAATTACACATAGCTTTATATGATTATGGTAAATCTATCAAAACTAAGCCTAAAATTTTCGAATTATTTAAATACATAATACTCGATATTTTTCTATGGCAATTTGTCGGACAAATCAAAGTTTAAAAACTCATAACTAAGCCAAAAAAGCATTCATTTTAATTCGGAAACCTGTCCTATGTAGTTTTTACTAGGCTTACAAAACTGCATACTCAATTTAAAATAAAAAAAAAACACTTAAAAATTTTGCAAAAACTTAAAATTTGTATTTTCCTCAGAACATGCCTAGATCGATTCGGCATTTGATGCTGATCAAGAATATATATGATTTATAGGGTCGAAAATGATTCCTTCCTTCCTTTTAAGTTCTAACTTAATCAAATACACAAATGAGGAAGTATTGTATTTTTTAATCTTTTAAAAAACAATTCCTCAATCAAAGAGATACAATTTTCTTACACAAAAACTATATCCCCAAGCTCTCAGAACTTTATGTCTAAAAAAAACAGGACATCTCAATTAGTGTTTAGTGTTGAGTTAAACCATTATAGACACTCATTATGTATGACTTGCCAATGATTAGCTAGTTCCAACAGCTTGTTAACCACTTTGATGTCCATCCACATACCGTTTAAGAGAGGATCGCAAAACCAGCTTAAGAACTACTTAAATAAACCCACTAATTAAGGTCAAAAAAAGTGGTGTAAAAACGAACCAGACAAATTGCACATTTACGAGGATTACAAAGAAACCAAACATTTAGCTTTGGGTGTGAACACAGCTCAAGGGATAATGAATGGTTTGGCAAACAGAAGCAGGTTGCACTTAGAGAAATAGGGGTAAAATCTAAAGAAAATTATATAAAATTATAGATAAGAAATATATTAATTTTCCTACTCTAATATTATCGTAGTAGACTTAAAATTAAATTTAGAATTGGTCTATTTTTGTGAGTATTTATTTTTTAAAAGATTTCTTCAAGTGCTAGAAAAAGGTAGTCAAGTACCCAAAGACTGGTTTCTTTTGATGCAGATGTGTCAGCCCATAAAACAGCTCATAAACAAAGTAGTTGTATACTAAAACCGATCTATAACTTTTAACTCTCCTTCCTTTCTTATTTTTTGCTACAGGAAACACGCAACGCATCAAGTTGAGCTACCGAACGGCACGCAATAATCCCCTCGATTTATACGTCTTGATGGATCTCACCTGGACAATGAGGGACGATAAGGAGACACTGAGAAAGTTGGGAGCTGAACTTACAAAGACCTTGAGAAATTTAACTGATAACTATCGTCTGGGATTTGGTTCTTTTGCTGATAAGCCTGCTCTTCCTATGATTAATCCTGGCATCATGGACAATCCCTGTGCCCAAGAACGTGAACAGGCGGTTTGTGAGCCCACCTATGGGTATCGTCATCAATTGTCCTTGACGGAGGATATACATTCATTTACTGCTGCGGTGGCTAATAGTAAAATTACTGCAAATTTGGATAATCTTGAGGGTGGCTTGGATGCCCTAATGCAGGTTATAGTGTGCCCCAAGGAGATCGGTTGGAAGGAGCAGGCTCGTAAAATAGTTATCCTTGTCACTGATGGCTTTATGCACTTGGCTGGAGATGGTCTACTCGCTGGCATTGCTCAGAGGAATGATAAGAAATGTCATCTTAATCAGGCTGGTGAGTATACGGGATCCTTGGAATATGATTATCCTTCACTGGAGGAGATCTATCGAGAGTTGCTGAGCCAGAAAATCAATGTGATCTTTGCGGTTACCCAGGATAGAGTGAGCAATTACAGGGAATTGAGTGCCTTGATGAAAGAAATCAGTTATGTGGATGTATTGAGTGAGGATTCCTCTAATATATTGGAATTAATTAAAAAGAGGTGAGTTCTTTAAAGGGGTTTTTAATGTATAATGTTTATTAATTTTATTTATTTATGTATTTCCAGTTATGAAAGCTTGATTAAACGCACTCAATTTGCTGATAATAGTCCTGATTATATTCAATTGGAGTATTATACCGACTGTGCTGGACAGTTTCCCAGTTTACGTAAAAGAAACTATTGCAATAATGTTTCGCTGGGCAAGGAAATTGAGTTTTTTGTGGATGTCACACTAAAAGAGTACCCCTTAGATAAGAATTATGTGAGTGAGAGAATATTATACAAATTTATCATCTAATTAATTTGTTTCTTAATTCTAGACCCACAACATTCGCGTGGGTGAAACCTCACTCAGCGAATATATGGATTGGAGGTGGAACTGCAGCGCCCGTGTCCTTGCCAGGAAAAACCGGATCCGGAAAATGAATACGGACGCTTTCAGTGCTCGGAACAGGGTTACATGTACTGTGGCATGTGCACCTGTGATGAGGGCTGGACAGGTACCCTTTGCACCTGTCCCACTGATAACACCAATGTGACCAATAATGAGGCACTGCTCCTAAAGTGTCGTCAACCTTTATTGGATCAAACTCACTCTCCGTTGGTGTGCTCTAATCATGGAGACTGTGATTGTGGCAGTTGTTTCTGTGATCCTGGCTATACGGGTCCTTATTGTGAGTGCAAGGAGTGTGTGGATTGTGATAGCGAAGTGGCTGATTGCTCCTGTGGTCAGTGTGTGTGCAAATATGGTTGGTCCGGCACTAGATGTAATTGTGCCGAGAATATGGATGCTTGCCGTGGACCCACTGGAGAGATCTGTTCCCAGCGAGGAGCCTGCGATTGCGGAGAATGCAGCTGTGAGGATGATTTTCTGGGCAAGTTTTGTGAAATTGATCCGGAAAAGGATAACAAGTTGTGTCAGTTCTATGAGCCTTGCGTGACCTGTTTGATTCAGCAGAAGCAGGGCATGGGCGCCTGTGATAATTTGAGTGAAATTTGCAAGAGTTTGGACCGTCAAGAGCTATTCACATATCGTTTTGTCCATGAGTTGGAACCGGAACAGGCCCGTTGCCTGGTTAGGATGGTGAATAAGCATGGCATTCAGTGTGATAGCTTCTTTAGCTATCAGGTCATCAATCCCTCCAATGAGCTATCCATCCAAGCTGTGGATTGTGAACCCTTGGATTATATGGCTTTGTTTGGTTTCATATCGGGTTTTACTGTGCTAGCTGGGTTGCTCCTAATGTGTCTTATATGGTGGTGCATAAGGGCCAAGGATGCCCGGGAATATGCCAGATTTGAGGAGGATCAGAAGAACTGGGTGAGGCAGGAGAATCCTATTTATAGGGATCCTGTGGGTAGATATGAGGTGCCCAAGGCTTTGAGTGTCAAGTATGATGAGAATCCTTTTGCTAGTTAAGTTTAGAATATTTTTAAAATATTTATAAATTATAAATGTAGGAAACGGAGCTATAGTTACGTTAAAATAGTTTTAAGTAGTTTAGTATATATCTTAAGCCAAACCAAAGCTCCCTTGAACAAAAACCTCTTTGTTTAGTTTCATTTTTCTTCATATACAATATATTTTGAACATAAATTTTGTTTTGTTTATACATAAAAATGATTGTGAATCGTTCAATAATTCGTAATATATAAAACTAATCTAAACTAGACTAAGAATTTGTTTATAGCTATATAAGAAAAAAATAACATTTGTAATATAACAAAGATACTAGTTTTCAAAAATGGGACAAGTGTTGATTTTTTTTTAGAATTAAGTGATGACTATTACTGGCAAAAAATGCAAAATGCAAGATATTATCTCTAACATATAGAACAGGCATTACAAAAATATAATTCAATTAATTAAGACTAAACACGCTTTTTCCCCGTTTTTCATACTACTTTTAACTAAATGTAATATCACTAGATTTGTAGCTTAGATTTCTAGTAAATGGGTTTTTTCTCCTCTCCTTAACAGCGGCCAAAAACATGAAATTCAATTACACATGCTCGTAACTCCTCCACACACACACACACGCAATGTTTAAGGAGTGAGTGGTAAATACAGGATATACAGGATATGCGGGGGTGTCCCTGCTCAAAGGACACGCTCCCCCAGCGACGGCGTCCTTTGGATCAGCATCGAGGGTGGCTTCGCCGGCAGCGTCACGCTGCTCAGCTCAGCATCCAGAGCGGCAATGTCCGCGGACATGGCCTTGGCCTGCGACTTGGGCGGCGAGGGGGCAACTATCGAGCTGGGCAATCCATGGGGCGAGGCATCGGGCACCAGGCGCTTCAGCAGACCGCCCACACAGCCCCAGGGGAAGGTCCTGTGGAAAATACAAACAAAACAAAAACGGTGAGGGTGAGCGGTGAGTTAAGGCCAAAAGGTAAATATTATGCATTATTAAAGAGGAACACATTAAAAGCAAAGGCCATTAGGCATGGTAATGTTTTTAGGGGGGTGCGCTATGATTTTTTGTATAGTGGGGGGATTTTACACTTGAATTTGGATCGAAAAAAATTAAAAAATAATTTAAGATATTTTTTAATCAAGTTTAAGGTACAAAATTAAAAAGTTATTTTTAAATAGTTTTTCAATATTTTTCACTCAATTCTGCGGCCAGGAAGTGCTGAGATATATTAAAAATGTAATTTTAATTATTTTCCCTCCTTGCCTCTTTCTCTTTCTCTTACTCTAACTCACTGGCTGCCTCTTTCTCCAGCCCTCTCTTTCCCTCTCATTCTCATTCCCACTCAGCATGTCTGTTGATCGGTAAGCCTCTCGCTCTAGGCACGCCGCTTTCTCTCTAACTCTCTCTCTGCTTCTCTAGTGATAGCTCTCTCTCTCTAACTCTCACTTTCCCTGTTCTCTTTACTCGGGGACTATAAATAGAGGCGCTTCTGGCCCGCCGGCCTCAGTCTGTCCGTGGGGTACCCAGTGTTAACATCTAAAGTGATCGTGGAAGTGATAGTGACTACCCTTGGACTCCAAAAATCATCTGGATCTGGATACGAGGAAGCAGCTCACTACGTCATACCATAAGAAGCCTAATTAAAGTCACCGGAAATAGAACTCTACACCGGAAGTAACTAAGCACGGAGTAAAAGGGTAAGTCTTAACCAATATAATTATATATAATATAATTAAATATAATCCAATCCATAATCCTATTAGTAACTCTTTTGCTTTCCGAAGTAAGCTTCCTATCTTGTTATTATTTTCTTTAATAATAGTTAATTTACTTCAAAGCATACTATAATATTTTTAATTGTTTAATAAAGTCTTTTAACAGTGTATCTAGATGAATAGGCACTTTTCGCTCAAGTCGGCATATTTATCATATTTTTTTGATGCTTGACATAAAAATGTGGTCAAGCTCGATGGAAATAATAACAACGTTTTTCCTGTTTTTTATTTCTACAGCTAAAGAAAAAGAACAACCATTAATATTTAATGGAAATACTCAGTTTTAGAATGTTTCCCTTGGGTATAAACAGAAATGAAATTTTAAATGGATTAACTTTGAAGCTGCTGTAAGAAATATTAAAGTACGAGTTAGCTTCAATTTAAAATGTTTCCCATAAACTGGAAGGAATTAAAATAGTTACTTGAACATAATAATGGGGATTTCTAAGCTACACTATTTTATAATTGTAATAAATTGAATATGATTAAATGAATTTTAAAAATACTAAGATTTCTTGTAAATATTATCTAAACTACATTATAATTAAGTTGAAAATACATCATTTAGCTAACTAAAAGCATTCTTAATTAAAACCTCTGAGAAAAATTTGTAAATACAATGTTTTGACTAGGAGAAATATCTAAATTATTATCAATGTTCAAGACAACCTATTAAATAGTACATTTAATATTTTTAATCAACAAACTATAACCTATATTTAAATCAAAATGAACTACAACACCTATTTGCCGCATTCCACACCCATTTTTGATTAATTTCTTCCCCTTTTACTACACCAAAGCGAACGTTAAATAAACTCAAATTAAAATATTCAAGTCAAGGCATTTTCCCCTCTTTTTCTTTTTCTTATTTTGATGGGCTGTCCATTAGGGGGACTACAGGAGAACTACAAGACCCCAAGACAGGTCTTACAACCATTATGGCGCCTAATTAAGTGCAGCAAATTATAATTATTATCATTATTTTCGACGGGTGAGAAAGGCCATTTGTTTACTCACCACTTGAAGGAGAGAAGGGCCTTGAGGAAACCAGGAATGACGGCCAATTTCTCGTTCTTCCTGATGGCCACAATGACACGATCGGCCACATCGTTGGGATTCAGCGTGGGGACCCATCTGTAATCATTTTTTCCCCTCAGTCAAAATGTCAGTTCACTCAGGAAAGGAAAGGAGAGGAGTCACTGGACACCACACACTCACCTGGCATTCACGTCGTCGAACATGCCAGTGGCCTGGATGAAGAACGGGCAGATGCAGGTGGTACGGATGTTCGTATGGCCAAGGACTTCCAGCTCCAGACGCAGAGCCTCATCAAAGCCAACCTGTAATTATCGATAACTCTCAAAATGGAGAAGAGGAAAGAGGGAAACTCCCTGCAGTAAAACTTACCGCTGCGAATTTACTGGCACAGTAATCGACCAATTTGCTAATGCCCACATGGCCAGCCAGCGAGGCAATTGTGGCAATATGTCCTCGATCATTCTCAATCATCTTGGGCAGAAACGCTTTTGTCGTCTGCAACATTGTTTAAGAATAAACCACACATTAGCTTCTTTACATTTCTTGTTTATATATTTGTTTTACTTTGTTTATTCTTACCCAAAAGTGTGCCATGACATTCACATTGAAGGAGCGCTCGATGAGATGGTCAGGTGTGTCCAAAAGGTGCAGGCCAGAGACAACGCCAGCATTGTTGATCAGCAAAGTGATCTGTAATCAAGAAATTTCATAATTTTAAAAAGATAATTAAACAAAAATATGGAAATTCCTTTAAAAATGTTGGAAAAAAATATAACTTAATTTAGGGATTACAATTTCAGTTAGAAGCTTGAAACTCAATGAAGAAGTCATTTGCGACCCTATAAATCATATGTATTCTTGATCAGCATAAAAAGCCGAATTAAACTAGCCATTTTTTCAAGTTAAAACAAATTCGAAATTTTTTCAAAATTTTTTAAGGGGTTTATTCTTTAAAATTGTGCAAATTTGACAAAAACATTGAATTTTTTAATTTTAAAACTCAGTATGCAAATTGTTAACCCTCTAAAAACAAGCACATAAAAGCTATACTCATTGAATTTGAAGCATTTTTTCCTAATTTATGATATTTGAAAAATCTAAAAATACCCAAAAAACTAGTATATAAAACTCTATTATCAAAACTTTCAAATATAGATTTCTGTATTGATTCCCACGTCATATAATGTACACAAACGATCCTTTAATATATTAATAAGAAAGTTTAACCTTTTAAAATTAATTCTTTTAGAGCTTTGCCACTTTTATAAACTGTTTAAATATATAAATAAATACATACAATATTTATTCTAAAAGTAACCTACTAATTATAACACATTTTCTTAGGCTTAATTGAAATTTGTTGTCTTGCTTAGATAAAAAGCCTTGATTTATTTTTTTTTTTTTAATAAATAACTAGACATTGCCAATAAATGCTGTGCAAAAATTTACATAAATTGCGTAACTTCTGGTTGTGCCACTAACACCAAAAAATTCAACAAATATGCATTTATTCTTGACTTGTTTGAATATTTGGCCAGACATTTTAATAGCGTAGGCAGAGCCAAGAAGGCATTAACTTGGCTAGAAACACACACTAATTTGACCTGGATAATCGATAACCAAGGTTTTTCTTATGATTTTAGTTGGCATTTAAGAATAAGCTTTTAAATAATATTAAAGTATAATGTTTAGAACAAAATGTATTGCAAAAGTTTAAGAATTTTAGAATACTAAGTAAAATGCTAAAAAAGCTTAAAATTAAAATGAAATAATGTTTATAGAAATCATATATCAAACTAATAAGTAAAAATAATCTTAAGCAGCTTTCAAAAATCTTGCACAATTCTCTTTGCTTTAACCACTTAATTTTAGATTTTATTTACACTTCAATTCAAATTACCTCTTAAAGTTTCTCCATCAATTAAACACATTTAATTTACAATTAACTAAAGCTGTTTTAATAGATTTATTTTGGGCACAAAAGTGAAATCCTTAAAATGGCAAAATCGTTGAAAAGTTTTGAGCATGTCAAGGTCTAAAATGCGAAAAATGTAAAATGCTTGAACAATTCAGCAGGTAACAACAGCAGCAAAGTCTGTATCTCTGTCTCTATTTCGACTAAAAAATAAAACCTATGCGATGACTTACACGGCCTGGTTAAATAAGTTAACAACAAGTGCACAAAGTGACACAAATGAGCCGAGTTCAAGTGCAATTGTTGTGCGGGGTCATACATTGCGTATGAGCGATTTCAAATTTGATGCCTGAGGCTGTAATCGCGGGCAAAAAACATTTAACGAGGCGTGCATTAAGCAAAAACAATAGCGGCCATTAAGGCAACACTAACAACAACATGGCCAGGCCATTAAAAAATATTAAATGTAATATTTCAGAGGGCTTTTCAAGCTGAACAAAAAAAGGAAAACAACAACAATTACAGCAGAATTTGAAGCAACACAAAAGCAACGCGTCATCTGCATAACGCATGACTTACTTAGCAGTTAAATAATTTGTGTGTTTTATTTTCTTTTCTTTTGTTTATATGAAGATGCTTTATATATCTTTATTTACTTTTTTTTAGTTTTAATTGTGTCTGTCATTATATAATTCATTCAAAGAGGTAAGTCAACCTATTATTTCTATTATTTCTCTGTTTGTTTTCATTTTATATTCGAAGTTCTGTCTGCTTGACTTTCTGACATAATTTAAAGCATTTTTTTCTTAGGTTTCTTTCAAAGCAAAATTATATATTTAAGCCAAATAATTTGGGGTTTCAGTTCAGTAAACTTTTATTTGGAAATTGGTATCTCTCCATGCATGAAAAATCTCTTAATGATGGCATTAGTTGCTTGTGTCAGTAATTTAGAGCAATTACCTCAAATATTTAATAATATAAATACATATTTAAGCGGAGATGTTAGTTAAGTTGGCTTTTACGGATGTTTATTTCAAATTGAAAGTTGATTGGGAAGAAAAGGGAAATTTTGCGGTAATTATATTCCGAAATATATTTATTTTGTGTTTAATTTATTTGTAACAAGAAGAGTTATTTTGTCAAATATTTTGCTAAGTAATTAGAAATATTTTAAGATTTTATTTATTTTTTTCTTAGCATATTAAGAAGAAACGTTTTAATTTCTAAATATATTGCTTTGAAACACTCTTTTAAATTCCTTTAAAAAATGTAAATTAATTGAAAACCTTTAACAACAAATATTTATTAAAATCACAAACTCACTCCTGTGTTCATTCAACTCTTTTTCTCTGCTTTTAATAAATTTTAATTAACGGACTACCTCAACCTTGACTGTTTTGCTCATTAACAAAAGCCCACATCAAGTTCTAATTGAAAGAACAAAACTGAACACACAGTCAGAATCTCAACTTAATTACCTTAATAAATATTTGATTGAAATAAAACCCATATACAAACATATAGAAAGGCAAACCCATAAAGCGATTTAAGACAGGAAATTCATGGAGTTCATGGAGTGTCTGAGCTGCGATTAATTTGAATACCAAACCAAGTGCATTGTTGGATTACACTGGAAACTGCCCCAGATTGTGATAAATGAGCAGATCGAATGCCAAGTGTGGCAACCAGTTTGCAGAAGACCGGATTTTGGCTTTGGCTTCTGCGCTTTTTTTCTACACTCCTTCTTATTTTTCCAGAGGTTTGTGTAATGTGCAACAATTTCTCAAGGTTGCCGCAACGATGACGATGCGCTCATGCATACAAATTTGTGTTTTTTCCAGTATTTTTTTTTTTTATCTTTAGTTTGACTTGCTCCGCCCTGGCTTCGCTTTAAAATTTATGACATGAATATGCATAAATGTGTTGCAACGGGGTGTGGCAGCAACACAACAGGCCTGCTACTCTGACGTTCTTGGATGGTGCCGGCATTACATGTGTAAGAGAATAATGGGCCAAGGGAGAGGGGGTTCTTCTTCTGGCCAGCATAAAGGCCATTAAACGCCCCTCAACAAACAATTATATGACGACTAGTCTGATGCCACATTAGGCGCTCGACTGTAAACAGCAATTACCGGACTTTTATGCTTCAATTGTTGCACGCATTTTCCACGCACTTTGTGATATCGAAAGGGGGACTAAAAAATAGATATATATATGCCTGATCTTTGGACATTTGATAGTACACTACAATTGTAACATTTAAGTAGTATAAAACCAAATATATATTTTTACTGAGTTCACAGCTATGAGTATCTCTTCTGATGGGTTTATCCTTAAAGAAAAAGGTATAATCTTTACAAAATAAATAAATACATAGTTTGAAATTAAATATATATATTTTTAACATAAATTTTCCTATATGAAAATAACTATTTTTTTCAGAGACTTTCATTATCTTTTTTTAGCATTCTAAACCAAGTAAACCCCTTGCTAATGTCAAATAAAAATAATAAAATATTTCTAACAAGTACATTTCATAAACTTCAAGTTTATCAATTAGCTTGAATGTTAAAACAATTTATACTCCCATAATTTTAACTTTATATATAAAAATACCTTCTAAAATACAAATTTATTTCCTTCTACATTAATATAAATTCCCCTCAGTGTACTTACATCACCAACTTCAGCTCTGATGACATCGGCCGCCTTATAGACCTCCTCCTTTTTGGATATATCTACCACATAGCCCTTGCAGTAACCACCGGCCTCTTCGACAATTTCCACGGTTTCCGCAATGCCTAATTAATACAATAATATTAATTAATATTCAATGTATATTTTTCTTCGATTGTCACTCACCCTTCTTGTTGATGTCCCAGATAATGACCTTGGTTCCCATTTTGCCCAATCGTTCGGCCAGAAGGCGACCCAATCCATTGCCTCCACCGGTGATCAAGGCAATATCTGTGTTCAGTTCCTTTTCGGGATAGCCAAAGCAATATAATACAGATCCTGTAATGAAGAGAGGAAATTAAATTTAATTAAGGCAAGGTTCTATATAATTACGAAAAGGAAGAGTTAATTAAATATCAATTTGGCACAAAAGGGAAGTTGCCAGATGTAGTTCATGGAAGTAGATCATAGGAAATAAGGTGGTGGATTAGATTATTTTAATCATATATCATCTTCTAAATAAATTGCTTTTAATATTTAGTAATGAATTCATATTAACCTTACATGTATACTATTTTTATAGGTTAAAGTAGACTGCTATCGCAGAAGTCATTTAAAGTTAAGTAGTTGTATTTTCACCTTTAAAATTATATTTATATTTTTGTTTATTATTTATAAATATTTAAGCTTATTAAATCAAATATGCATATTCAAAACTTTCCAAAAAGCCTAGAAATCCATTAAAAATATTTACAACTACTTAAAATGCTTATAAATTCTAAATCCGTGAAAAGAACACATTCATAGCTACACCTTAAATTAGTATTTACAAAAATCTGGGAGAGTCCCAACAGGTTTTACATCTCCAACCAAATCATCTTAAACATTTGTAAATATTCTAAAAACATTATGCAAAGTAAGGTCTTATTCAGCATAAATAAAACCATAAAATTTCTATTGCATTTCTTCCCCCTTCAACACAGGAGCTATGCAAATAAGTTCGTTGCTCAAGTCTTTTGTTTTTCGTTTCGTTCATTTCCTATAGACACAAAACTGCAAATAGCAAATAAATAAAGACAAATTTAAAGTTTACACAATGCTGAAGAGGAAGCGTTGGCAAAGTGTAAAATTGTAAACAAAACTATTGAGAGTCTGTGTTTTGTTTGGCATCTGCGTGTTAATAGACCGCAATTTGCCGCCTCTTCAAAGTTAGTGTGGGGTTTGTAGTTCAACCTCAATTAATCGATATATATAGTATTATTTATGTGGGCTTTCGGTTATTTGCAAAACACTCACTCATTTTATTGTGTATTACTTTTTGTTGTGTGCCCGTTTAGTGTCAATAAGCTGTCAAAATTTATGACTATCACGCCTCCTACCTGGCTTGGCTCGTTAAAATACAAAATAAAAATAAAAACACGCGAAACAAAAGACTCTGGCAGCGAACTTAATAATATTTAACATGCCGCCGCACAGTAGCACTTTCTGTTGCACGCGGGGGCATCCCATAAATTTTCATGCCACACGCGAACCACCTAAAGCTTAGGGCACACCTGGTCGCTTTTGCACCTTATACGGAAGAGGAAGGAGAGGGGTGAAGGGGATATGATATGGGAAAGGGTATGGGAAAGAGTATGGGAAAGGGTATGGGAAAGAGTATGGGAATCGGGAGCGGAAGCCGGCAAGCGTGTCCAATTATTTTGACATTAACAATGAGTATGTCGCAACTTTGTGTCTTCTTATGCACTTTGCTGAAGGTGGTCTTTGTTTTTGTATATATTTTTAAGGTAATTGTAGTTGAAACATTAATATTACATTTATTTCTATCAAAAATCTAAAAGAAAATGGTTTCCAGGGTAGAAAAATCATACTATAAATTTATTAAAGGTTTTTGTTTTCAATCTAATCTAATCTTTGGGAAGAATAAGAAAATATTTACGAATTCTACAGTACCTAAACCTAAAATTAGATTTAATTCAGGTATTTAATTAATTTCTTTTAATAAAATATCAACTTTATTAACTTAATTTTGATGTAATATTCAAGGAAATGTATTAACCAAATGACAATGGCTTAACGTTAGGATTGTGCATTTATTCAAAAGATATTATTTTGAAACCGTAAAGTTGATATACTTGAAGCATTATCTTTCTGCTACATATAAGTATTTAAACTAATATTAACCTAAACTTACTACCTTGTATTTAATATGCATTTCGCGCATTTTTTTAAATTAATTATTATAATACAGAAAGAGTATTAATCCTTTGGCTTCCCCACCTAAAACTTCCACCCCATTTCTCTTCCTTTATTTTTTTTTGCAAACATTTTCCTTTCGCTCCGTTCAAAATTGTATCATAAATTATACGAAAAATTAATCAAAGGAAACTTGTTGCCGCTCGTTGGGGTATCTTTGGAGGGGAAGGTTGATTGTTGACAGCCACAATGATGATGATGATGAGTGGCTCCGTTTGGCCCTTTTATTTCCATCCAGCAGTCGTTGACAGACATTTTGTCACATAATTTAACATGCAATGTTCATGTTCATGCTCTTTTCTCAACTCAATTCAAATAACAAGGACAGGAAGCGAGCAATTACAATTTATACATAATAATCAACATAATCAACATAATAAGACCAGCAGCAGCAGAGATTTCTTTTCATGCTACGAACATGACATATAAAACGGCAGAATTATGCAAATATGTTAACAAAGAGAAAGATCTCGGAAACTTTTGGTTTGCTAAAATGTAAATTTTGCAGACACGTTTAAAGTTTAAGCTGTGTCATTTTTTGAGAATTCTGTGTCTGTATCTGGCTGGATTTTTCCTCAGTCACCCAAAAAAAAACAACCAATAAAAACCTGCCTATTCAGCATTCATTTACTCAGTCTGGTGTCTGTCCTCGTCTATCTTCTTATATTTTTTCTGGTGATTGTCAAGGTCCAACGCATTGACCTTTGTAAAGTTACGGAAAGCCATCAAATTGGATTTGATTTTAAGATGCACTGATTTCAATTTGATTGACTTGTGGTGGAAAATTTTTAAAGGTCTTTGCCAATGGTTGTAGAATGATTAATGGAAGATTTTTGGAACCAGAAATGTGTTCGTGATAAGCTGGAAAATCGGGTAATCGGACAGGCTAATTATGTATGCCATAATATGATAATTACAAGTGTGGAAAAATTATGAAAAAGTGAAGGTTGTATTGGTTTTAGTATTTTTACATAATTTTTCAAAGTTTCCCTATAGTTAAAAACATTAAATATGAGGTCACATATTCTTTAAATATCAAGGTTTATTTATAACAACTTTTAAACATATTTTACATAATAATTTTTATTTATTACACCTTAAATGTATATGCATTGCATTTTCATTTAAATGATTTCCCAAGCTTTAAATGTTTTCCATTTATTTTCAGTCTTTTGTTTACCTTTCCTTCTATATACAAACATCATTAGCATTTGCATTAAAAATACAAAAAAACAAGAAGAACCACCACAAGTTGCTGAAATCACTAAACTGTGCTTAGCTCATTAGAGTTGTTTAAACATTAATTAGCATGCATCTTCAAAAACTCCACTCATTAGACACAACAAAACGTGTGCGGAATTTTTCCCTCTTTTATTATGGTAGTAGATTTCGCAAACTAAACTATGCAAACTTATTTCAAAATGCCAAATGATCGCTGATCCCTGAAAATCTTCCTCCTCTTAGACTTCTAAGCCGGCAAAAGGGGGAGTGGGAAATTCCCATCATCTTGGCCAGTAATCAAATGTTTGCAAACAAAACTAGTTTCCTTCTCTCTGTATCTCTCTCTGGGACTCTGACTCTCTGTTGGTAGAGTTTCCAAGAGAATTGCGAAAAAATATCAACAACCTGAAGCCGCTGCCACCAGGTTGCCTCGTTAACGTGGCTAACGTGGTTCTAGAGCCGGCCGAAAGTGAAACCAAATACCAAAAACCAGCGGCCAACTGTCAATTGCCCAACCGCACAACAAAAAAAAATAAATAAAGCTCACACACACCTGCCTAGCCAAAAAATTGGCTCCAATTTTGGCCACTTTATGAGCCGTGTGGAAAACTGCTCAAATGCTCAAGCTTCGAGTGCTTTTGGCTCGAGTGGCAAATGCAAAGAAAACAAAAGACTTAAGGCACGAACTTGCCACAAAACATTGTAAACGTTGAGACCGCCAGTGTTGCAATCCAAAAACAAAAAAAACTTGGCAGACGCCGACTGTTGCCACTTCTACACCCCTGGGTTACCTGTTCTCCCTCCTCTCTCCCCTGAGTGACCTTCTTTAAAACTAGACACAAAACACCGACAGTTAAATTCCAAATAACATGTGAAAAGCTTAAAAAATTGAGAGATTTCAGGGGATTTATATACTCTTCTTATGATTAAATATTATTATTAATATAAAAATATTTAAAAAAATATAAATTATATAGAAATGGGCAAAGGTTCTTCTTGTTTTTCATTAAATTTCTTTCCTTATGAGTAGTAAACTCTCCTAAAAAAATGTTTAATTGCAACATTAGCTTGGAATATATTTCCTTTCAAGTAAATAAAATCATCAGCAGACTCAAATAAATTTAATTAAACTATATTTAAGCAAATAATAGTTACAAGTAAATTAAAAATACATTTATTAACTTGTTTATTTCATTTTATGTATATTTATGTATTTATTTGTATTTATTATATACATATATTTTTATTTATTTAGGAACTCTCCCTTCTGGGAAAAATCATTTAAATTACGTAAAATTCTGTAAAAGTCCTTCTTAAAATTTATAGAATTAAACAAAAAACCTTTTGAGAAAGTTTCCACATATTATTTTAATTATATGTAAGCTTAAATAAATAAAACACAGCTAAAAGTTATTTTTCCCTATATTTCCAGCTAAAACTTCTTAAAAAATCTTACTACCCCTTCAGAAAGAGTACCCAGACATCTCAAAATATAATAATAAACCTGAAATTCAATCCCGCCGACAACAAATGCAGTAGCAACAAAAAAAAAACACAATAAAAAACACAACAAACTCGGCAACTATTAAGCTGCAGCATTGCATTTGAATCAAGTCTCCTACACTTGAAAGTTATTTTTATTTTTTATTTATTTTTGTGTTAAGCTGCCTGGCCAATTGGCCAATGATTTTGCACTTTAAGTCTTGTTTGCTTTTTGACGGGGCTTCTCTTTGTATATTTTTTTATTTTTCTGAATTTTTATTGCAGTCTGTTGGTGGCGGGTGGCTTGGCCTTCAAGTGGCAATTTTCATTTATAGATCTGTGTGGAAATTAGCATCACAATATCGCGCAGTGTATTAGCA